GTTGCTACTAGGCCCATCCCCAGTTTGCGAGGCTTACCGTACGAGGACAGGTGCGAGAGACTGTGAATGTTCACCCTGGCATACCGTCGGTTACGTGTCGACCTCATCATGACCTACCGGATTCTACATGTAGGCGACTTTCCCACGCTATGGCCACTGCTCCACTAGCGAACACCTTGCAACACACGCGCACACCAATACAAGCTTGTGTGCCTAGGTTTAAAGCGAGTTCACCATCCCCTGTGTTTGGAATGGCGAGTGGTAAATATCTGAAACGGTTTCTCGGAACATATAGTGGAAGCGAACTCAGTACCATTGTGCAAACGATCCTTGGATGTGCATTCCTCAAATATTAGATTCCAAGAACGATTACCAACAGGCATCTCGCATTTTTGAGTCCTAATCTACTGTGAGTTAAACGTGAAAAACGATCAGTGTATATCTAGGTCATAGTTCGCTTTTTCAACGTTTTTGATCATATTACGATGGAGTTGTACAGATTCAAGTTTCTATTTGCTCCCACAATGCAGTATTCCATATTCAGCATTATATATATATATATATATATATATATATATATATATCCGGGAAGCTAGAATACCGAGTTGTGGAACAACTATCAGCTTACCGTTAGCACGAAGCTGATGGTGTACAAATCCATGGTGCTGTCCGTTCTTCTATACGGCAGCGAAACGTGTACGGTATACCGGCGGAATGTGCGGTATCTCGAGCAGTTCCATCGGCAGTGTTTGCGACGGATTCTGCGCATTGATTGGTGCGACAGAGTTGCAGGTGCGGAAGTGTTGCGCCTAAATGGAAGGTATGCAGTAGATTGTGTACTTTTACTGGGACGCCTTAGGTGGCTCGGTCATGTGTGGCGCATGGATTCGACGCGGATAGCGAAGGAGCTATTATATGCTCAGCTGAGTGTTGAAAAGTGACATGTGTGGAAACCAAAGTTATGTTACCAGGACATGATCAAATTGAGCCACTCACGTTCTAATGTTGATTGCAGGTATTGGGAATCGAAGGCGGTTGATCGGCGTGCATGGCGCGATCTGATCATGAAAGCAGTTGCCGAGGTGCGGGACAAAGACCTCATGCATGCGGAGAAAAAGCGGCAAGCGCCGATTTGCTGTACTCCATCGACATCGAGCGCATGGTGCTGTAGCACATGTGGTCGCGAGTGCTTGAGTCAGGCAGGTCTGGTGAGCCATGTGCGAGGCCACTTGGGGCTATCACCGAAACGACGACGGGTCCTGCAGCGAAGGCAGACAGAACCGGCGCAGCGTTTGTAGGTACGCTGCATTCGATTTCCTAACCGCGTGCTTGCATGCTAATTCTCTTTATTTTAGGTGATGGGTTTGCTGTATTGTCCTTATGCTTTTCTACCTCATATTAATGTCTACCTAAACTATCTATATACTTGCACACGTTGCTGAAGCTAATTGTAGTTAACTTCGATAACATTTTCGCGTTTGCGGCATTTTCTTAAAATATATTTTCTGACGTCGCGGACTTTTGCGTAACCAATAAATTTTGTATGCTGATTTATTGAAGTTAAGTCACAGTATCTGTATGCACTATTCGATTTAATTTATTTGGTAATGTCGTGTCAAGTGATTGGCTGTTGATTGACATCCCCGGTGTGGCTGCGCTTGATGTGCATGTTGACAGTGTCTACCTCGTCCATACTGGATCCAGGAGACAGTTGATTGTTGCTGGAGGGGACGGGGTGCACGGTCCATGTGGCCGTACTAGGCTCGAAAGGTGGTTCCATGCACTCAGGGTGGAGCGGACCACGGTTCAGCCACTACCTAGTTTGCGCTTGATTCCCAAATACAGCGTGCTTGTGAAGGAGTGTGGGCCGGCTCCGTTGATGAAACCTGGCTCCCATCCACACCTCCCGGTCTTATTGCCTCGGGTTTGCACTGGATATGGAGTGTGCAGATGGAGCTATGGGTGATAAATCTTAAACCACCCATGGTCCCTCTGTAGGCGCAGGCGTCCTGTGGCTGGCCACCGTGACAGGCAAATCCGAAACCGGATGCCGCCAACCATATATATATATATATATATATATATATATATTGCAAAGGCCCGCCTTGCATTCATCAAACTGAGACACCTATGGCGTCGTCGTGATGTCAGTCTCAAGCTCAAGGGCAGGGTGTACAATGCTTCCGTCCTTGCAGTACTCTTGTACGGCTGTGAGACTTGGCCTATTCACTCGGAAGATATGAAGCGGCTGTCAGTCTTCGACAATCGCTGTCTACGAACGATTGCTCGGGTGTGGTGACAACACCACGTAAGCAACGCAGAGGTGCGAGACCGCGTGCTTAGGGCGAATAGGGCCAGTCTTCAGGAGCTTATTCTCCGACATCGCATGCGTTGGCTCGGGCACGTTCTGCGCATGCCAGCCCATCGCCTTCCACGTCGAGCGCTATTTGCACTCCCAAGGAGCGAGCGGAAAAAGTGCCGCGGTGGACAGCCAATGACGTGGAGAAGGAGCATGAAGAAAGCAACCTCTTGTTTGGCGGCAGTCGAACCAGTCCGCTTTCCAGGTTGGGGACCACGAGATGCTGAATCGCAGTGGTTGGAAACATTAGACGTCATGGCCCGCAACAGACATCAGTGGCGTCAATGTTGTTCTGCCATTTTACCATCCCTTTGATGCACACAAAAACTCACAAAAAATAAAAATGGCGTGTGTAAAACCGAAAAAGTCGTTTCCCATATTTTTTAATCGCAGTTCGTGTTTCCATCTTCTTCACTTTTTTCTTCTTCCATGATTCTGATGGCACGGTACCTGTCAACGGACTGTGAATATATATATATATATATATATATATATATATATATATGTGTGTGTGTGTGTGCAGGCAAGCAGGGTCTAACTTGCGAAGCTTGCAACCACCACTTCCACTCGACAGAACACTACCTTACGTGTCCGGCAGCCTAGGTGCTATTACGCTTCGATAGTATTTTCATAAACTGCATTCCCAGTGAATTTTGCCATCATCCTTACAGTCTAGCTGAAGGTGAGGAACATCTCAACTATTGTGCCGCGATACAAAAAGGCGAGATATATAAAAACATCAAAATGTTGAGCATTACAAAAGACAAAATACAAGCCAAAAAGCAGGTAATCCTATTCTTAGTAGCATATTATGCATGCAATGTGAGGTCGTGGTTAGTGGGGGAGAGACAAAGAAATTCACACACAAATATCACTGACGTCGGTTCTTCCCCATTCCAACAAGTGTATCCATCCAAACATGATCATTATCCTTGGCACCGCAGCGCGGTAGTTGGCAGACGCAAACCGACGTCAACTTCGAAGTGAGTGACTTCATTGCTCTTGACTAAGTCATCGATTGGCCTCACCTCCTTCCATCCACACTCCGGGCGCGTTAACAACACTCATCGCGGGAGTCGGTGCGCTGGCATGCGCAACACGTGGCTCAGCTTTCAGAGCGTGGTTTGTGAAATAACGGTGCTCAGCGGTTTACTCGCTCTTCCTGCACCGATTGAGGGATGCCGGATAGGTTCATCGTTCACGCGGTGTTCACAGATATGAGCTAAGCTACGAAGGCAGCGGTGATCGAACGCAACCAGCCTCTTTATGTCTATGGATCTGATAGGCCAGGTTTCGTAGCCATACATGATTCCGTTGGAAACTCTGCCCTTCATGGCGTGCGTGATGTCACACCGGCGCCACAAGTGGCGGACATTGTCAAAAGCGCCTCAAGCTTTTGCTATATAGTTTTTGAATTCTCTCCCACATGCACCACTATTGATACAGAATGTTATTGTTATGGAACAGCAGCTCTCTTAATTAACTCGTATATTTTGCGATTTAAGTTACCGGATTTGCCTAACGCCTATTTGGCGCGTAACCATAAAGATGCCATCACAGACACGGTATATTTCCGCCTCATTTAAAACCCTTGTTATGTGGCTGGAGAGCGACACGCGATCTTAATTTGAACCGAGGGTTACTTCGAGGTGTAGCTTGGTAAGGACGTCCGTCTGCAATTTCCACTCCACGGAACTGAGTTGCAGTTCCGCTATTTTTCTGAATAATGCATACAAGCAGGAGACTGGTCATGGGCGAAGGGCGGGCATCTCCCGACGGGGCTCCCCAGACACAGAGTAGGCAAGCGTAACCTACGACGACTTCACATTCGACCACTGCCGCATTTTCCTATTTTGAGTTGGAAAGCCTTCTCTTTTGTGGATCCCTCCGCTCTGGAATCCTCTCCTTCAGTTGAAAAAAGGAAGGCATCAGTAGTACTCCATTACGCAGTACCAACGCTTCGCTGCCGCGCAACCACCACCAGTTGCGCATAGGCTAAGGATACTGTGACGGTCGCCCGGTCCCCTACATAGGCTCGAACCCGCGCCTTCAGATTACAAGGCAGGTTTGTGATCCTTAAGGCCACGGACTGGCAAATCGTTGAACCTGCCTCAAAACCCGCCGTGCTACACCATGTTTGTTCCATTACATTGCTTGTTTCTTTGAGTTGAACGCTGAATACTGTTCGCTTTTTGAATTGTTTCGTCACGGTTAGACACAACCAGACAGCTATCACACATCTAAGGACACGAATCATCTCAAAAATAATATAAGCTCCCTTACTACTTTCTAATAACTGATAATCGTCCTAGCAGCTTACATGCACCTCGATTGGTGGCGGCTTGCAAAGGAAGTCGTTACTCTGAGGGCCAGCCCTGTCTTCTTCAAGTTCCTAACATGCGTAACAGTGAAGGATGAGCCGCGCTATATCGCAGTTAGAATTCTTTCATGGCAATCTGCCGCCGTCACCCGTGGTTCAGTGGCATAAGTAGATCAGTTGTAAGAGTGAGTTCATGGGCTCGGATCCATCTAGCGGTTTCATAGATGTGTGATGACTGTCTGGCTGAGTCTAACTGCGACGAATCATCTCAGAAACAATAAATCCCTCTGCTACTCTCTAACAACTGTTTGCCTTTTCCAGGTTGTCAGTGTTCTCACCGGTTTGACCCTACTGTTCCTGGTTACCGCCCCATTTGTCGTCATCTCCCTACCGTGCATCTTCTGTGCCAAGTGCCACTATCTTTATCGGAGGTATCGCCTTCGCCAGCGTCACTCCAGTGGGCATATAAGGCCGCAGGAAGTTCTGGTTTCCGAGGATTGCGGACTCAAAAAGGCTGCTGAACTGGATTCCCTCACTGCGGCTCACGACTGCTTGGTCACCAGTTCCACCCCTGATAATTCCGCGGATTTGGCCGCTACTTCTTCTGGCGCCTTTGTCTTAGCTGAGACTGCTGACATCCACTGGTGCTCACTGCCGACGGCCGGCACCCCACTGGAGCCTCCGACGAAGCCAGATTCTGTCTCCTCCGACCTTGATGCCACTTAGTCTCTTATGCGCTTTCGTGTCTGTACACGCACACCATCTTTTCTGTGATTACCTCACTCGATCTAGATATTTTCTACTGTTATTTACCTTTTCTTATCCTCGTTCTTTGTTGTCGTTATTTGTTGCAACTTCTCATCCACGGCCCTTAGCGCCGCTTGCATTTTTCTCGCACTTTGAGCTTCTTAGCTGAAATCTTATTTTGCCGCTGAGTTGTTCAAGTTACTCCGAAATATTATATATTCCACCGCGGAGTTGCTACATCTTTCTACCATTCAGATAGAACTTATTCCGCGCTATCCACCATGACTCAACGTGTCCTTTCTTTCTCCCCTGCAAGCCATTTCTTTCCTCTGTAGTCGAACTCCTGCTTATGTTTGTTTTGGTTTATAACTGCGGCTCAATTTCGAATTGTTACTGCTTTTACACTGACTTCCCAACTCGCCTTCTGGATGATAGTGTTACTCTACTTGCATGTCACCACCACAGAGCCATCTTAATAGACATTGCATCATCAGCAGATTGCTAGATCGATCGATTGGTTGGTTAATTGATATTCTGCTACATGCATAGACGACAGGTACGTGGGTCTGACAAGTTTTTTAGAAACAGGCCGATGTACTCTTATACATAGAATGCCCTTCATAAGGGCATAATGCCGAGGTTTGTCTGCTTACGAATTGAATAAGGAGATCACACTGGTTGTCAACGTTTTATCCTCTACCAGGCTGTCCTCGTAAGCCCTTGAGTGCTCTGCTGCGTTCTCAACTTTGCTTAGAATACGTTCAATCAACTATCGACCGGTGGTCAGAAGAATGTTGCGTCTACATTTTAACCCAAAGTCCATGGGGCCCAAACTGCGTGGGTGCGGGCGACCTCACGGTGTTCCTAACTCGCGCTTGACTGGTGATGGTCTCGTGGTAGCGTAACATCGATACTTTAGTTTAATAGATCCGCTGCTTGTTGGTAGCTAGAGCACTTCCGAGAGTAATATACTAATCGGTGTTCTTAGCTGCCCTTCGGGCTTGACACGCAGATCGATTCAGGTAACTCATTGGACCTTTACGGAGTTCTGTTTGATTCTGGACAGCCTTACCTTCTGTCATCCATCTAATTCCTTATCATTATTCTTTTCTGTCTTCGGCACCTTTTCAATACCTTCTCAGAAGACGTCTAAGAGTAAATGGTTAACACTAGTCGTCTCTTGTTTTTCTTGTTGCTGTAATCGGGCACCGCGTTATGTAGTCTGGCCGACTTTGAATGGGCTAACCCTGGTGGGTCTCGGTCTTCATTTCGCATAACTGTGAACTTTGCACCTCGGGCCCCGGATTCGGGTAGTTCTTATGGACCAACCGGTTACAACGCATCCTTGTTCAAATAGGACGCGTAAGTGAGGACCAATTACACTCCTTCAAAGTACTGCTCGGCGAGGTGAGTGTTTTTGACTTAGTTTAGACAAGAACATTCGTAGTTCTCTTGTCTACGCGGACTTTTTCGTTTTGAAACCGTCATCAGCGACAGCAGTGCATCAGCGTTTTGCATTGGAGTTCCGTTGCCACGCTATCCTCGCTCAGCAATGCAGCACTGTAAGGATGGAATAAGCAAAGGAGCCACGGACTGTCCTGACGCAGGACTCAAACACGTCAAACAAAAACTCGGGGTCATAGTGCTTACGCACTCTACACTTACATCCCGCTGCATATTGTGTGTCGCCATTAGTGAGCTATCTTCACTACCTCGCTTTGTGACCAACACTACTTTGCAGACAACAACAACAAACACATTTTACCAAACCGTTCAGTCAGAGGGCGACGGTAAGCTCGCGGTTGCTCCCTGCATCCCAGCATAGAGTGTGTCGCTTAGACCCCAGCGTGTAAGGCGAAATGGACCAGCATCATACAACCTAATGATTAGCTGCCTCATATCTCTATGCTAGCCAATGACCATCCCGTCAAATCTTGTGCCATACAACCCCAGGAAAGTAAAATACGACCAGTACTAATCAACACAACGATTAGTATCCCTACTCCGTCGGTCAAACCCTCGTCACTGTCCAGCCGTTCACACATCCTATACCAATTTACACGTATTTGCAAGACTTACTACGTGGGCATGAGGGTCGCGGAGCACATACCGGCGTGAGTTAATAAACACGTCTCGCAGATGACTACGTCTGACACTCCGATTGCGCAGCCAATGAAGGGAAATGACGTTCCATGCAAACAGTCGGCGTTGTCAATCGCTCGCCACCTACTGGCTGACATCCATTGTGTAGACCCTGCACGAGCCTTCCGTGTTATGTATACCTCCATGAACACCTGACTTTACGATATGCTGAGGCCGTGACCATCAAACAACTTGGCCCAACTCTGTGTGTGCAGAAACACCCATTTGTGTCCCTTGCTTTGCCGTGGTAGCGGGCAGGAAACAGATGACAAGGTGACTGTATGTACAGTGTGTGTCTGCGTTCAGTTTGGTCGATTTGTAATTTCAACTGATCTCGTTTCATGATGCTATAAATTCACATGTCTGTAGTACACACTTGCAAATTTTCCGGAATTAACTCGTGCGGCACTCTTGTGTTAACATTTCTGCCAAAAATTTCCTCGGGAACTAATTGTTTCAATTAGACTTATTAAAGCATAAGCTGGCGTACTTATCATGTGCGCGAGCCAACAATTCTTTGTTGATCTAGCTGGCTAACCTGATTATCGACATCTAGGATCCACCTGTGCGCATCGCTGCTGCAGAAACGTTGACGACACCCGATGCGATTAATGCTCCCTACTCAGCGTAATATTTCTGGCATCATATGAAGAGGACGCCCACCACCGTGTCTTGCTTATAAACCCTTCGAAATTTATGTAAATTCTTGATTAGGGGGTCATTTGGCGTACTCGTGTGAATGGATTGAGACGGGCAATGTTTATGTAGACCGCAGTTCACATTGAAGTGAACTTAGGCAATGTGGTCACTGGGACCGAAGCGGATGGAAATCTGGCGTTTTCAGGCGCATAACATCCAATTTCTACCTAATGTAAATCCACTTCTGTTGCTAAACGTAGAATTTCTCTAAAGAAAGGTCGGATAACTGTGAACCGGATGCGTGCAAAAACTCTGTTTTATCCTATCCTAAAGACACTACAGGGGGTATCTGAAAGCTGGTGGATTATGACATGTTCCCGCCGTTTTCGTATTGCAAATCAAAACAATCCTGACAACAAATTAGTCAGTTGCACATTTTCCGCCATTGTTCGCACCTGCTCCCACCTCTCGTCCATTTTATCAATGCCGTTTAGTCGGAAATCACCGCTTTTGGACTCGAGGAAGCTGTTGTGTCATTCTTTGTTCTGTTCTTCCTTATCTAAGGTTACGCTCCTCATTTATGGGTTACTTCAGGGTGAACAAACAGAAAACCATTATAGCCATCTGCTGAAACAAGGGAGTGAACGCAAGTACGCGACTGCTGTCAGCACTTCCTGCTTATTGGTGTTGTGATTGCTCTCGAGATTCCAAATCGGGAAAACAATCACTGAGCTAACCTAGTCACTTTTACCATCTTTCTCCACATCAGCGAACTGCCGCCTTGGAGTTTTGCCAAATCCACCAGCGAGCTTCCGTATTACCCATTCAGTGCGCTGCCAGATTAGAGCGATACTTCGCATGCATCAACTATCAACCGGTTTTATACACTTTGGGCCGCATACATAAACGACACTGGCTTCTAGACAGCGCAGTTGTCGACAGGTATTCCAAACTCAATGGTGGTCGATACGGGAAGTTCCGATCGCAACTATAGAATGAGTCACCGCCTTTTCATAATTAAATAAATGGTTTCTTTTCGACAACGCGACGCACGTCTGCATACTCATGATCATGGCAACACAAACACGAAGGATCGGTAATTGTACAGAAGTGTTACAAGTTAAACAGTTCCGAACTGGATTTGAGTGTGTTCATATGGCCAAGTTGATCTAATTTGTTCATGTGGATATGCATTTGTGATTGTGTTTGATCGCGTATCCAGTGCAAGAAGAGATCATAGAAATTCTCTGAAGTGGTTGACTGACGTCTGTGAAGTGGGCAAAGAGTAGTGACTTCATTTACTGGCGAGACACACACACCACGCCGCGGTGTTGTTAAACAGACATTTGTGGGTTTTTTTTTCTCGGAAGAACGCTTGCCAGGCAGGAACACATCACGTCTTGAAACACTGCTGCCGAACCATTCTTTTGGACTAGATTTACCCGAACCACCCAGCTAGCACCACGGCGAGGTTGTTCGGCACGCCAGCCATGTTGTTTTTCTCTGCTGTCTATTGCTTAGCACAAATTAGGCTTCTTCCGATCTGATGCTACGCTGACAAACAAGACAGATGATCTGTAGACATTGTAAAGTCCAAAAGGAACTTTGATGCATTCCCCAACCTGGATTGCTTACTTGAGGACACGGTATCCCTATTCCCTAATTATTCTGCTCATTTTACATTGCTTTACTCTGTGTGCTACAATTGGTTACCATATTGAACCTTTATGCCTTTCACTCTCGATCACTGATGTTTCAAGATCATCCATATTATTCCGTTACTGTGACATTGCCCAAATTCCCGCACGCTTTACAATTTCTGCCCTCTTGCATTACAATTCAAATCCCATACCACCACGGTTAGAGGATAATTCGTTTTCTTCTACCCCGACCGTGTGTTAAGTCTAAGGTTTATTGGTTCCTAGTTTCCAGTTTAGGGTTCGTACTACGTACTTAGTTTAGGTTTCGTATCGTTTGTACATAAGTTGAATAGTGCACTCATGTCCGTTTCTGGTGCTTCTCTTAAAGATGTTGACGCTATTGATGCTGCGAAGCTTCAAAGAGCTGAATCCCGTATTTGTCTGCTGGAGTTGGCCGTAACGAACAGCTTGTAGGCGAAGATGGTTGATGTCAAGGACTACTGCGAACCTGAATTTTAGTCGCATGCGCGGGTTACTGTAGGATGGAGATTTATTCCGGCCGACGCTTGTGAACTCTCGCCCGAAGTTGCCATCTGCTCGTCATTTTTGAAGTCAATAGGAGGCTACGTGTGCCATCCGTAGCTCAACTGGTTTGTACGTCTGCAACTGTTGGTACCCAAGTTCGGTCCCCGTTGGGTTCGTTTTGCTCCGGCCTGCAAACTGACAGTAACCCGTGTCCAGAACGCAAATCCAGTGGTTTTGGACCTGTCTTCCAAAACGCGAACTGATCACGTTCGATGGAAATCCTACCAGCTATTGAATATTTATGTGATGCTTCGAAGCTAATGTTTCCAGAACTACTTCCGATCCAACTATCAGGCTTTCATGTTTGATATAGTACTGTTGTGCTGAAGCTAAAGAAGCTGTCGGAAGTTGTTTAGTACTCTACCCCGGTGAAGGTTTTTGAAGAAGCAATAAACATTTTATGTAAACGCTTCGGACGGTCCCACATGATTGCTAGGACTCACATTAATGCTCTAACTGATCGCCCTAACATCAAGCCCAATGATTT